AAAAAATCTCGGTTCTTTGTCAGTTAAAAAATAGGAAATCTTTGTCACTTTTTGAAAGAGCGATATGACGAGAGAAGCTCAGTGAAAAGTGAAGAAAAAGTAAAAAAAAAGTCTGAAGATGAATAGACAATAATTATATCATTAGCATGTAAATCTGGTTTGCCAAATAAATTGTCACTATTGTTATTTATTGGCTTAATAATAGACTTGAGATTATCTAAGAATTGTTTTAGCTAGACCAAAAATCACGTCAGCATTTTTTATTTTTTTGTTGAATAAATAAATGACGTTTTCGAAAATCTTTACGTAATTATTTAACCTGAAAGTGTAAAATTGAATTTTTTGAACTTTTGCAGCCTAAATTTCCAACCCTTATTTTTTACTTTTTGTTTTTTTTATTCTTTATTTTTTATTTTTTATTTTTTTTATTGACTCTTATGTCTTAATAACAACAAAAGAATAAAAGAAATAATTAAAGTAGTAAAATATTAAAATAATAGCAACAATGATTATTAGTGCTATTATTATTATTGTCAATCTTGATATTATTACTTAATACACTTCCCCTTAAGTTTCTATAACATATTTATACACCAGTTATGTTTAAAAGCATATTTCTTTATTTTTTTTAAGAATTTAAGTGAAAATTCATATTTGAAAACAGAAGAAAATAAGCTGTATTTGCGAATTAAAAATTTTTATTACTTCTTAGTTTATCAACAAAATATCGTTGCAAAAGATTCTATAATTTCACTGCTTTTACAGCTGTGTTACAGTGAAAGCAATTAGATTTTGTGGCTTATTGCACAATACTTTACTTCGATTGTTTTTTTTTTTAGTAAGCTTCTGAAATGTAGAAGAAGAGAGATTTTATAATTTATTTTTTTTACTACATTTATGTTACACGAGTGGAAAATTTTGAGTAATTTGGTCTTGCATCCAGCAGTTTTATATTCTATTGGTTTGCTTAGTTTTTTGTCTTCTTTCTCTCTTATTAAAACTATACATTATCGTTTTAAAGTCATTAAGGTATATCAAAATAAAGAAATTGCTTTTTTTTTTAAATTAACAAATCAGGCATACTCTGATAAAAGTTGTTCTCTGGCAAATTCAAATTTAAAGCAAGAAAAAAGAAAAACAAGGAACTGATAGAGAAAAACAGCTGTTTTTGGCAGTGACTTTTGATGAAAAGTGAAAACAAGAAGAAAAAAGGTTTGAAATTTACAGTAAACGAACATTTGCTCATTATTTTTTGCTGCTGTTATTTCTTCGAAAGTTTATTACTTCAAAATGATTTTAAAGAACATTTAGCAATCTAGATAAATTGCAGTTTCATATATAAAAGGTTTTTGAACTTATTGAACTTATTGAGCTCTTAGTGATAAAACACAGGATGCTGATGCTGAACATCACTGTCAGTTAACAACTGTACATCTTCATGTGATAAGCAGTACTCCAAAACGATGAGCATTTATTGTTTTATTACTGCTTTTGCTTTTGTTTTTTTTTAGCATCTCAAGTATTGGCTCAAAATTGGATATCAGTTAACAAAACTTTATTATTTCTCAACAGACAGCAAGCAGAAGATGTGGTAACAAAAATAAAAGAAAACAGAAAAGAAAAAATTAGTTCAGCATCTTTAAAAAAAAAAAAAAAAAAACAGTTTGTCGCATTTACTTCTTCAACAAACTTACCGAGTCTATAAAATTTTATTGCAGAAGATTTGCATATTCGACTTCAAACAACCACTAGCAAAAAATTGAATATTCTTCCTTTCAATAATCTTCTTTGCTATAAAACTATAGTCTCTTGATGATCATCAATAGACGACAGCTTTGTATCAGAACCACAAACTGATGTAGCTCATCTGTTTCAATAAAAAAAAAAGACACTTTTTTTTTGTAGTATCAAGTTAAGAAGAAAATGACAGCTTAAATTGTTTCCTTTTTTTTGTAATAAATTTAATCTGACATCGTTAAAACAGTGGAAGATGAGCATTAAACTGCAAAAAGTATAGAGAAACTGTCAAAAAAAGTATATAGAAAATTCTAAGAATTAGGAAGACTATGACTTAGTTTATTATGCCTAGCGCCCACTCTTGAATTTTGATTTGTCACTGTGTTATACAAAGCGGATGAGCTGATAATAGCCTAGAAATCTGACTTAGATGCTTTCTTGTAGTTTCTTAAAATTGATGGTTATTGCTCAGCCAAACTAAATAAAGTTTTTTTCAATTTACCTTTTGCTTTCTGTTTACTGCTTCTGGTTTTTAACAGCAATTCTTGTATTGTTTAATTCGTTCAATTTTCACATTAAATTTCTATATATTTATGTTGCTAAAAACCTAAGTAAGTGCGTCATTTGCAAGAATGAAAAATATAAAAGAATAGCAGCAAAAAAAAAAAAAGAAAAAGTTATAACGTCTGTAAAAAAAATAAACAGTCTTTGTTTTTTATCCTGCAATCTTCAAATTTTTCTTTTGTATGTTTATAATTTGAATCAGTAAAATGATTTGGTCAAATAGTTGTTCTGTGAGTTGTAAGGTACTCCAAATACAGCAATATTCTTTTTTTTTTTTTTGTTTGCTATGCTTAAGTCAGCAATTAACAGTTACTGAAAAATGCTAAAGAACTAAGCAAATTTATGACAAATGAAAGTTCAGACGAAGAAAAAATTGTTTTCCGCTATTCGCCCTAAAGTTTATAAACTATATTTCTCGGGTGGTTACAAAGTTAATTTTGTTTTGGCATTAAAGACACCTTTTTTTACTATTTTATATTAATATTACACTCAACACAATCTTTTTTCTTAAATTTTAACTTGTTACAAGTAATTTTTTTCCACTTTGAATTTAGAAATTGTCGACTGCAAAAAATAAAACGGCTACTGCCGTCTCTTAGTTCCTCTCTCTTGGTTGCATTTACCTCGTTTTTTTACTTTTCGCTATTTCTCTTTGTTTTTCAGGTTTATTGCCTCCGATTTTTTTTTTTTTTAAATTGTCTAAGCATAAATTTTAACCCCTCTATCTGTTTAGAAAATTACTTTTTGTTACAATTTCAAACATATTTACAACTAATCATTTATCATTGCTATAATTTTTAACCCACCTCTCTTCTGTTACCCTTTTCTCAAAAAGCGTCAACTTTTCCACAGACTGTTACGTTGCTTCATAACTGCTTAATAGAACTAACGAAAAAGCGATCAGTAAAATGCAGTTGAAGATACCATATTAGGCGATAGTGCTTCTGTCGTTAAGCTGTTATTTTAGCGGCTGTATAGATAAAGTATCATTAAATAAGTGAGTAATAAACGTATTGCTGATTTACTTTT